GGACACAGAACAGATCCCAATTTCTCCTCAGTAGAAACAGTCATAGTCATAAAATCTGGACAAAGCAGTAGACACTGGATACATTCTTTTCTTAAACTCATTGAAGTTAATCTGTTTCCAATTATTTAGCTGTTTTTTATTTGAATTTCAAAAATTAAATTAATTTAATCAAATTATTCAAACAATCAAAATCAAATCAAATCTAAATCTAGTGTTTTAGCAACATGCAAAAAGCAACACATTCTGCAACCCAAATCCTGATGTAAAGACACCCATGGAAGCAGCTTATCCCATCAATAATGCGGTAGTGTGTGCCCAGTTTAGCTCAATCACCTGTGAGGCTGTGTGACTAACCTGCATGTGCTTTGACCAGAAGTCGCATGATGGACCACGTGAGAGACAAAGATGCTGTCTGACAAAGTAAAACTCTTGTCTGTTCTAAAATGCTTCTACAGGTAATCTGCATGTCAGATCATCTACAGGATTGTCCTGTAGGTTTCTGTCAGAGCCGACTGCCTGACGCAGTCCTATCGCTGCGACATCTTGCGCGCTGTTGCTGTACATACCTGACAAGTTGTATAAAATTCCTTTCAGTTTCACAATCAATGGGCAATCAACGTGACTGACACTTTATTTTCTTTAGAAAAGCTGCGCTATTAAGATTAATTTCATATGATGAACTCGTCTTTCATAAATCTGTAACAGAATACACAAAAGAAATATGCTGTAAACCCGAGAAGAGTGATGACACGATAAAGAGGAAATGACAGAAATCAGTCATGTGAGGAGAAAACAATTTTTTGATGCCTTTGTGCTGATAGGATTGATTGCTGATGTTTTCGATATGGAAAGTTCTTATGAAAACTATGGAAAAAGAAAAGGACACTTACAAGAGCATGATCATTTAAAGGAAATCAGTAAAGTGTTGGAACTTGACCATTTCAGAGCACCTTGATGTTGTTTCATCAAGCCTCATTAGACGGAGTATCCCTGTCTTCCCTCAGTGTGTGTTTTACTGATTGTGATGGAGAGCACTGTTTAAAACTGTTGAGATTTGATATTCTTAATGCCACAGCTCATGATTGAGATCATTTCCATACTCTTAAAATCATTTGCAGAGCCCTTATGTGTCATTTAGTGCTGTGCGTGGCATGCTCAGGTGTGGACTTAGGGGCGGAACTGAACTTAAAACCAGTTTTATTGCTGGACTTAAAGGAAAAATACAATCTAGGAAACATGGAACCCAGAATGGAATTAATAATCAACTAGGAGAATAAAACGCAAAGAAGACACACCACATGATGGGAGATTGCAACAATGAACTAAGGAAACTGAACGCTTAAATACACACATGAGGCAATCATGGAGCTGGCACACAAAGGGACACAGCTGAACTAAATCAGGGAAATGAGACAGAGCAACCTGAACATGATGCACAAAGGGCGAGAGACTATCAAAATAAGACAGGAAGGCTCACAACACCTCTGTACTGATTTACATTGACCGTGTCAGCAACAATTCTTCTCAGAGCAAAACAGAACTGGATCATCTCATTTAGGGCACAAGTTTTCAGTCTTAGATCATTATCTTGGTGTAAGCTACACACTAAGTGTCGAGAGTATAGCGAAGTATGACTTCCAGATCTCTGTAGAACATTGCCGGTGCTTTTAACATTACTGAAATCACCAATGTGCATTCATCTTTGTTAATTTGCATAACTGCAAATTTGCTGCTGTTTGCAAATGTCAACAGTAAGTTATGACCTGCAGAACGTCCGTGATCATGTACTGGGCTGATACTGTTTCCTGTGACACTAGTGTGATGGTTCTCAACCTTTTTCTGACAAGTCCCCCATCAGCAGCAACAAAGGTCACACCTCTGCCCACACCCCAGTTTTTACCCATCATAGCCATAATCACAACCTAGTTTTATGCCATATTTTCCCCATAGCTATATGCCCCACTAAACACAGTTTACAGTCCTTTTTACTGATTTGTTTGCAAGTGATCTAAATATAGGTATTGCTTTTGTCAGTTTTTCTTTTGAAACATGAGACAGTTGAAACCCCCTGTCAATGAAGCTCCTGTCTTCTGTGTCCTAACAATAACTCTTTCAAAGTTGACTTCTTCTGCTTGTCATTTTGATTCAATGATATTGGATGGTACCATTCAGTGCACTGAACTGACACTCATTTGTGTCATTAGCATTAGCATTTGCTACACAGATGTGTTTAAATGCAAACATGCATTTAAACACAGTATATAACGCAAAAACAGAGGTTACAATCTAATGGGCTTAAAATTCTTATTTGGTATGTCTCTAGTAGCACGATCAGCTCTCTTGGGCAAGCTTTCTTTTAATTTCTTTAGGTAGTCTTCAGAAATAACTCTTCAGGCAAGTTGGGGGACATTCAAAGGGCATCTTTGGACATTGGCTGCCTTCTCTTCTGTTCCCTGTCAAATAGATCCCACACTGCTTCAGTAATGTTGAGGTCCAGACTCTGGGGAGGCCAATCCATGACTGATGATGATACATTGTGTGTGTGTGTGTGTGTGTGTGTGTGTGTGTGTGTGTGTGTGTGTGTGTGTGTTTAAGGCAATGTCTAATAAAGAAATAGAAGACAATTGAAAAACTTTGTTTGAATAGTTGCGGTGCACTGATCTGCTTCTACCTTACCTGCTGATTGACAGGAGCTCTTAATATCTCTACTGGGATCACTTAGGAGCTCTCTGTCGTCAATGCTGAACATGTGACACCAATTGACTACAGCATTTCTGAAATAACTTCATCAGATAAAATCTGAAACCTCTGTACTGTTCCTCTGTCACATGTTTGAACATATTTCTAGGCAACATTGTATAATTTTTCCATCAACTATGCTGAATGATAATGGCTTTACAGATACACGATTGTGCCAACTGAAATACTCCATGTGGACTTTTTCTTTCCATCATAGACTAAAGACGGCATGATCACTGCAGCATTCATTCATGAAAACATGGCTGCCTTTTGCCTTAGCGCATTTCAGTTAGGCTGTGACAGGGCTTCAAAATTAAACTTCACTGAGAGACATTATTACTTAATGCCACCCTGCTGCCAGTTAAGATCCCTGTGTGCGACAATGTCAGCTAGCAGTCTTGACAAGGAAAGGGTCATTTGCCAGTCGTCCCTCATTTCTTTATATTGTGCTAGGAAATTATTTTATTTCTCGAAATATGTGCAAACGTGCATGTTTTGCTATTTTTCAGTTAAACAAATGGTAGCAGACTCCTAATAACAAAGTGCCTAAATATATAGCTTTTCATCCCCAGAGTCAGGTGCTTTTTTTTATGCTTGAGTTATAGATAAGCGTCAAACAGATTAACAAACCAACACAATTAAAACAAAAAACAAAATAACATAAAAACATGGAAATGGTCAGGACTTCAAATTAATGCTGCGACTACATAACCAAAACACACACACATACACACACACACACACACATACATACATACATACATACATACATACATACATATGTATATGTGTATATCATAAACTGCTGCTTGCTCAAAATACAGATTGTTGTTGTTTCTTCTTACTCGGATAAAGCAATAAAGTAAAAGGTTTTTGGTATGTGGAATTTTTTTTAGCCTTTATGAACTACATGCTCAACTTACATATTGAAGCCTTACTTTAGATTTGATTGAATTAGTTTTATTCCACATCAAAACAGAGCACTGTATAAGGATACATATGCAATGCAGTGTGTTACAGCGCAAGCACCCTCAAAACATTACGATATGACGACTTATACACCTAAATGAAAGAAATTTCCTTCCAATATTTTGTACTTGACTTATGATGCAAGGAAGGTAAATTGTCTATGAGGCCTGTTAAGCTCTATACAAATAATGTCTCATATGTTGCTGGAGGATATAAATGTGATTATATGATTGCTCAGGGCATTACATAACGAGTTGAAGAAGGTGGATTATCTTTGAAGAGAGAAACCAGATACAATCAAGAATGTTGCATGTGTCACTCAAGTGCAAGAGAGCTTCTACCCAGCACATGATGAGTCCTTAAACTGGAATCTCTTTGATGAGATAATCACCAAAACGTGGAAACACAGTGAGAACAAAACGTATCCAGATACTGTAAGCATTAGACATGTGAGGCACTGAGGGGACAACAGTCAGCAGCACCCTTTACTCACTGTAAAACAGTGAGCAAAGCATCACATACACAAAACTAACAAAAGCATTGTAGGTGGCTTTATGCAGATTTACAGACTAAATATTAGAGTGCTGATGTTTAATCTTGCATGTCAAGGATGTGGGCAGTGCACAGAGGAAGGTGGTTTGCATTGCTTTAGTCAGCTCGGCCGCGTAAAATTGATGTTCAAGTATAAAACTGGGAACAGGCTGTGTTTGCTCACTTCATCCCAAGAAAGCAGACACTGTTTCAAAGAGCAGTAAAGGGCATGGCAGATATGGTGCTGTTACATAAAATAAAAAATTGTAAAAGAAATTTTAAAAAAAGAATTTGGTAAAAAAAGAATCCTAAATCGAGTATGAATCTCTACAATGTAGTATAACCCTTACTGACAAGTGTGTTCACCTGACGCCAGTTTCATGCCTGGACAGAGCACACGGCTGTCACACATAACTGATTTTCAGTGCAGCATTAAATAAGCAGTAGTATTCTTTATTCCGGCTGCAAATATAGCTTCTGGTGTAATATTTACTGTTTTTAACCCATTGGACAACTTTGATATAATGGCATTTTAAGAAGTCATACTGGGTTAGTATAGTGATGCAATCTGATTATTTCCTGCTGCCTGTTCTAGGAATAACGTCCCCAGAGCAGCAGGTAAGGAGTGGTTTAGCTCATGAAAGATAACACGAGCACACACCTTGCTTGTGAGTGGTAGAGAGAGTCACACCCCCTCCCAAAGTTCACAATATATAAGATGCTGACAGCCAGCTTGAAGTCACAGCTGAGTGAGGACCCTACCTGAGGAGCGATCAGAGCATCGTCAGAAGAAAGTCATCAAGATGGGAAACTGCTGTGAAAGAGCTGGAAATTTCTTCGGCCCGCAGAACAACACCTATATACGTGTTAGTTTACCGGCTGTTTGCTTCGTCTGGCAGATTGCTATGGTTATTCTCTTTGGAGTTTTTATCCGGTATGACGAGGAATCGGATGAAAAAGGATGGCATGAGTTCAAAAAGAGTCATAACATCACCAGCAACATTGAGAATGACTTCTACTTCAGATATCCAAGTAAGTACAACAACAGACAGCCTTTAAGAAATCTCTTTTTTATTTTCAAGTGCATTTGCTACTTGTAGCATGCTAAACGTAGCTCGGACATGCATGCATGCACTTTTGGGATACATGTATGTGTGAATAAATAAAAGTGCCGTGTTTTCTCGCTTAATGCTGTGAAAGCAGACACTGTTGTCTGAGATCTTTGGCAGTTTCCACTGATGTCTAAGGGATGACGGTGAATTCCTCCCCCACCAATATTTACAACAACAATAATGATGATAATCATTTTTACTTTCAAAGGCTGAATACTTTTACAGAAGGTATCTTTTTTTTGTATGCCACAGGGGGAAAAAAGCTGGAAATAGTAATAAAAGATAATGATGGCAATGATGATAATAATAAAACATACTTTTTTCAGGCTTATGTGCGGTAATGTGGCAGTACTTAACTACTGAAAATGTTGTAATGTGCAATGTCCCTGAGAAACTAACAGATTGTCTTCCCAGTGATCTACGTGCTGACATCCTTAAAGAAGAGTTTACATTAAACTGGAAATATTAATATAACTTAAAAAAAAGAAATAAAGTGTTAAACAACATTTCAGACTCCTTCTGTTTTACTCAATATTAATAATAATAAAAGGCAGGTGGGATCGCAAAAACACTGAAATTTTTTTTTTTAAATCTCTGCAGGCTTCCAGGACGTCCATGTCATGATCTTTGTAGGCTTCGGCTTTCTCATGACTTTCCTGAAGCGCTACAGCTTCGGTGGCGTGGGATTTAACTTTCTAATCGCCGCCTTTGGTCTACAGTGGGCTCTCCTCATGCAAGGTTGGTTCCACAGTTTGGACCCCGTCACTGGAAAAATCACCATCGGAATTGAGAGGTAAGTGCCATCGCTCCTTGGTGAGTTATGTAATTCAAAAATGAAACCACATTCTTTAACTTGTAAATGTTAATAACCGGCTTGAACTGTGGTTGCTTTCCTTCAGTCTGATTAACGCTGACTTCTGCTGTGCTGGATCTCTGATCGCCTACGGGGCTCTCCTGGGGAAAGTAAGCCCTGTCCAGCTGATGATTGTCACCTTATTTGGTGTCACACTTTTTGCTGTGGAGGAATACATCATCCTTGACCTCTTTCATGTGAGTCTCGGCAGCCACATTAAAAATTTGAACTTTCCTTCAGAGTTTAAAAATTGTATTGTGGGGATTTGCAGTTCTGTTTTTCTGCCCATTTAAAAAAGCGTAATTATTTTCACAGTGCAGAGATGCTGGTGGCTCCATGGTCATTCACACCTTTGGAGGGTACTATGGTTTGGCCATCTCCTGGGTGCTGTACCGACCAAACCTGAACTTAAGTAAACGTCTCAATGGGTCTGTCTACCACTCTGATCTGTTTGCTATGATTGGTGAGTAAATGGAAAATTACAGAGTTTGCCAAACTCTGTATTTTGTTTAACCCACCTAACATGTGTCCTTGCCTTTCTTACACCTTGCAGGTGCACTGTTCCTGTGGATGTTCTGGCCCAGTTTTAACTCGGCCATCACAAACCACGGTGCTGGACAGCATAGAACAGTCATCAACACTTACCTTTCCCTCGCTGCCTGTGTTCTTACCACTTTCGCCATCTCCAGTATGGGTCAAAAGAAAGGAAAATTAGACATGGTATGGCACACAAAGAGAAATGATACAGAAGCTTATGAAATCGACTTATTTATGAACGCTAATGTTCCACTTTTATCTGACAGGTACATATCCAGAATGCCTCTCTGGCTGCTGGGGTTGCAATGGGGACATCAGCAGAGTTTATGATCACTCCTTACGGTTCAATCATTGTGGGTTTCTGCTGTGGTATCATCTCCACCTTTGGGTACTTATATGTCACGGTGAGTGATGCCATTCTTTAACCCCCTAGCTTCTGTTCTGAGAGATTTTTGTGTTCTGGTGTTATCATAGGAAAAACAAAGAAAGAAGCAGTGACATGCAAAAACTGCTGTGCGGAAATCAGGAGTCTGATAAGAACAATGAGGAAGAATTTTAAGAGCAGTCACTGCATGGTTTTAATATTAAGTATAGGATGAATACTTTACAATAAATGGAAGCAAGGTGTGGTGACTGTGAAATTGATGCCATCCAATTGACAAATTGATGAATAAAAGATCACTGACACAGGCTATTAGTAAAAAAAAAAAAAGACTGCTAATTAGTTGTGACTTTATTTTTCTCAGCCCTTTTTGGAGAAAAGGCTCAAGCTCCAGGATACATGTGGCATCCACAACTTGCATGCCGTGCCAGGGATGCTCGGTGGCTTCGTAGGTGCCATAGTTGCTGCAGCAGCTACTGAAGAGGTCTATGGCAAAGAGGGGTGAGTGACAAACGCTAATACACATAAAACTTGGAATTCAAAAACTGACCAGACCTGTTTACTGACTACTTCTAGGGATCCACACGCCCAGTTATTCAGCCTCCTTTTTTGAAAGACTCACATTAACTATGCAGTGACATTTGAACTTTCTACTTCAGTTATGATTAGTGCTGTCAGCGTTAATCTCACTAAAATGACGTTAACGGAGAGTTGCCGCGTTAATGCGGTTATTTTTTAGCGAGATTAACGCTGACAGCACAAGTTGTGATGTGTTGAAAATGCACCGAAATTCAAGAGTTGTTGTTTGTTTGTTGTTGTTGTTTTTTTCCTGTGCAGGCTGGTCGAGACATTTGGCTTGAGTGGCAAGTTTGAAAACAGGAGTATGTCAACGCAGGGAGCCTACCAGGCTGCTGGCACATGTGTAGCAATTGCATTTGGACTGGTTGGAGGAGTCTGTGTTGGTGAGTTTCATAACATCATTTTTGCTTTCACTTGGAAAGATTTATTTCTTTTTTAAAGAACTCCATGAAGTATTTAAAAACAACATTTATGCAGAATTTTAAGAAAACTAGATAAAATGAAAATCAGGAAAGGCTATTGTGACTATTTTTGAGACACCTTTTTTTATTTTTTTTAAGTATAAAATTTACAGTGAACAATGCTATGATAGGCAAGGATAATGTAAGTAACAAATCTTAATGATATAATATTCTCTTTTTAAAGGTTTCATCCTGAGGTTTCCCCTCTGGGGAGATCCTGCTGATGACTTTTGCTTTGATGATGAAGCGTACTGGGAGGTGAGACTGCACTAGATGGTGTTCTTGCCCTTTGACTATGCAGGCCTTTAAATACTGGTTCATTTTGGTTCGCTTTCTGATTTCATCTTTTGGTTCCAGCTTCCTGAGGATGAAGAGACAATCCCTCCTGTTTTGGAATACAACAACCACATGATAAACAAGCACCAAGACACGTAAGCTCAGAAACTTTAACTGTCCTCCTTACTTACCACTTCCTCCTCCTCATGAAATTCTTGTTAACTCATTTTCCTCTTTTCTTTCACAGACATGAGTCACAATTCTCTCTGGAGGAAAGTTAGAGACTTGCAGCAGGAGTCCAGTCCCCTTTATATCCTCATGAACTTTATGCAGCTGATAAACATGAACTGATGAAGGAGCTTTGGAAAATAAGCCACATGAAAATGTTTTAATATACAAGTATTGTTTTGCACAATTTATGTCTCATGTAGTTGCCTATTATCAACTATTAGAAGCTTTAAGTTAAAACAACATAAAATAATCAGTAAATGTCCAATTCAACAAAATATTATTTGGAATCAAGGTTTTTAAAGCTGCTGGAGCTTCAAACTGTTCTCAAAATGTTGATTTTTACCTTCACTTTGGAAGCAACATATATCATTCTGACTTCAGAATGCCAAGTACATGTAAAAGATAATCTGTCTATAAGCTAATTATGCACTGAGGAATATTATTGTGCAGCCAAAACTGTAATAACAAAGACAAATTGTGTATTGTTATTAGTTGAATTATTTCTATAAAATAATTTATAGCTTTTTAACTATATGCCGCTATGTACATATAGTTCAACAATTAGTTTGCTGCATAAATTGCAGATTGCCTCTTTAGAAGTTTTAATTATAGTAACTATGATACAACCTCTAGCAATTTGGTTGCTGTTGAATGTTACCTCCAATAAAGAATGTAAGATTGTATGTAAGAACTTGCTTGATTTACTTCTGGCATATTATGGATTCAGTTTATTGGATAAACTGATGCGGTAAGGGAATCAATGCTAATATAACATTTGTGTGATGAATGAAACATGATTGTTGTTATTTTTAGTTTGTGAGAAATGTTCTAGATCTTGAAGACTCATCTGCTTGATCGTTTTACAGGATTTCAACTCCACTAAATGTACTGAACTATCTTAAAATGTGATTTAATAACACAAAGGTGCTTAGATTATTTAGACTTAACACTTATTGGAAATGGTGTGACCAAAAAATATTAAAGAAGCTTGTGTCAGTTTGATGGAATGAAAACAAACTGCTTTCCCAGTGTGCTGAGTGAAGAAATGCACAGCTCTCTAAATTAGTTTCAACATTGTTGATCATTACAACCTTTGTGAGCGGAATAGTTTTAGGTCAGTATTACGAACAAAATGAAAAATTAATGTATTTTCAGTAGAAAACAATAAGAATTTCTTTACTATTCGCATGTCTAAATAACCTCTAGGCAAATATGTGCCGTCCAATTTGTATTATGATAAGTAATCATTGCCAAGTGAATATAAAGTCAGAATGAGCTCACCCAAATCAATAAATGACTGGAGCTGCAAGTTTTTTTTCAGTCTTCTTTTAGATGAAGTTAAGAAACGTTTAGATACAGCCACACCATGTCATGTAAAGCCCACTGCGTCCAGAAAGCACATGGCCTTCTGGAATATGGGGATTTTCACAAAGCAGATTCTCACTCAACAAAATAACTATGTAGAGTATTTTAGTAATATTCCTTAATAAAGTATCTCAACTGCATTTATTCTTGACCATCAGCTGGTATACCAACTAGCCAGTATCTATGTTTATGTGCTGTAAGAAGGATACTGGTATTTTGTGTGTTTTGCAGTTATATTAACATATTTTTTCATAGCTTTATTTATATTTCAGCCACTTGTAGGCCTAAAAAATATGAAAACAAAAAGAAGATGCACATTCTCTGTCATATAGGCCTGCATGAATAAACAAAGTTTGCATTGCACGGTCAGATTTCACCCGTCCCTTTCTTCTTTAAATGTGAAGTGGTGTCGGAATTTCCAAGTAAGAAATGCATTTCTGCCGGTGCACTGCTGGCTCTGTTGTGCTGGCTTCGGGTACGTTCTGTAACTGATGGCGCCAACATTATTAGGATGCTTACATTAGAGCCTCTTATTGCGTGTTTGTTTGGGTGTCTGGCAATGCATAGAATTACTGAAATTAGAGAGGGGATAGCCTATCAGAATCAGAATCAGAATACTTTATTGATCCCTGGGGGAAATTATTTTTTGTTACAGTGCTCCATTTTAAACCAACATTAAGACAAGACAGACAATACGCTAACTAAGAATAGTACAATATATACATATATATACATACATACATACATAAGTCACTTATAAATAAATATTTGGAAAAGACATAGGAATCAGGAAAATACTGTAGTATAATTCATGTATTTCAACAAAGTATTCTACTTATCACCTATTTAAACGGTAACTGTAACGAAATACAGTTACCAAAATACTCATATTTTATATTTCAATACGCTGGTACACGTATTCCATAAAATGCCCATGACTTGTGACTCTCAAGCTGTTTGGGCAAAGAGCCATTGCAAGGTTGAGTGATAAACAATATGACCCTTATTTCACTTCGAATGTTAATTAAAAAATGTGGATTGATTAGTGTAGCCACGCCATGTAATGTAAAGCCCACTGCATCCACATGACCTTTCACAAGGCAGCTTCTCACTCAACAAAATAACTGTGACAAATATTCTAGCCAGTGGCGGTCCTAGCCAGTTTGGCGCCCTGGGCGAAACTCCCTCTGCCCCCCCCCCCCCCACACACACACACAAAGCATATTAAGGATTGTACATTAACATAAAATTGTTGTACACACACACACACACACACACACACACACACACACACACACACACATATGAAGAGAGAGAGAGTATGCATAGTATGCAAACGGCTACCAAACAACCATCATAATTCGTCATACAATGAGAACAGGTCGAATCAACAATTGACAATGACTAATTAATATTAAAATCTGTAACATAATATATTGTTTGGAGTTTAGTCTGTTACTGTTGCTATTTTTACCATTTTGTCTTGGAGCAACTGTAACTCACATAGTTTCCTTAGGGATTAATAAAGTGTTCTGATTGTTGCAGGATGACCTGCCATTATCCAATGACACATCTGCATACCTGTATCTTTTGCTCGTTTCTCCTCCTCTTCTTTTCTATTTTTTCTAAACTGAGGACTTGATGGCTTTGAACTTTTCTTGTCCATCTTCCATTGGTTTTAATTTTGCACTCCAGTATGAACACCCACCCCCCAA